CTGAAAAAAACCCTTAGTATAATCTATAGACACCCCCCACCTCCAACCTCCCCCTGTCCCAACTCTGGGCCTGTCCCACCTGGGCACCGGCGGGAGGTAGTCCCTGTGTTGACGCTGAGCTACGTGACTGGCCACATCCGCTGGGGGAAACGTGGCCTTGGGGGCCTGGTCACGGGGGACTCCCCCTGCACAGAGGGCTGCGGGCTCACACACTGAGAAAGGAGGACTCTCTTCCCTTCTCTCCTTGCTCAAGAGTTAGTCTAATAATCTCCATCAAAAAGAAGTCTCAAGGGTATTGCCTTTCTTTCTTCTTTTAAACACAACCCTCAGTCCTGTTGCTGCTCCCTGGGTGCGTTGCCCACAGCACCCCAGAGACTCGAGGAAGAGAGAGAGAAGGAGGGGTAGCCTCAGTGCTGACCCAGCCCCTGGCCCCTCGCCTGGTCCACGCTCTGTGATTGGGGTGTCCACCCTCCGATCGACTTTCCCTCATCTTTACATCCAGAAGCTCCTGTGAAAAACAGGCCTGGAACAAGGGAATCCATGACTTAAAAAAAAAAGAAAAAAGAACTTACAAGAATTCAGAAGTACTTAAGCCCTCCACATACTGTTCTAAAAATTCATTCCATTTGTTTAAAATCAATATTTAAGGAAAATAACATCTGTCAGCACCAAGGACTTGACACGTTAGCATTACAGCTTTAGTAAGAGTCTACCAGGGAGCTTGACTCCCTCCCCTTGCGGGTGAGGGAACACGTACGTGCCCAGGAGTACAGAGCCCAGAAATGACCAGACAAGGATTGAAACTGACCGACTCCAAAGCTCACACTCACTTCCAGACTCCACGCTGCCCTAACTGAACTAACAGCCTCAACCAAGGGAGACAGTCCAGCACTGCTTGGTCAGCACCCATCCCCCGAGAAAAGAAGATACAGAAAATGACTCTGGGTAATGACCCCGCTGTATCCCAGTGCCAGGCCGGAAGAAGACGGGGCTCCTGTAGGTGTCGGGACAATGAAGAAAGCCACAGCAAAGTGGCAGAAAACACCCTACTTTTACTGTACTAGTTGTATGCAAAACAAAAAGGGGTTTGACATTCCAATTAACATTTAAAAACAAAATTTGTAAAGGATAGGATTTTTAGTAAAACAGATTTCATTTGGATTTACTGTAACTGGCACAATTCAGCAAAATTTAATTTTTGTGAAAATGGTAAAATTGGAATCTACTGACAGCAAATGTATACCTATCTATCTATGGCTGGCATTCTGGTCTGTGATGATGCAAAACACTGCTAGGTAACTTGCAGAAGTGTAACCTTTGTGACTAGGTCTCTTGCACATTCTCTACTGCAAATTCAGCTTGCTGAATCATACCACAATGTGGTCCGCCTGTCAGCTCTGCCACAGTACTGATGTTTCTAAGTCTGGAAATCACTTGAAGTGCCCCCAGTTCCTCTTCCACCTCTGCTTTGTTCCTGCAGTCACTGGATATGTTTATTTTAGATATGTTCTTTTCCACAATGCCACTATCCAAAGCCATCTGTTCTAATTTCAACCACTTTATATTTTGTTCTGGTAGATGGTAGAGCCTGTCTTCTCTCTTTTTCTTGGCAGACTTTTCTTGGCTGTTTTTGCACATCTAAGAATTTAAGAGTCAGTTCTAGTAAAAAAATCCTCTGGGGATTTTGATTAGTGCAACAATTACACAGTAATTTAGGGGAGAAATAACTTCAAAATTGAGCCTTCCCATCAATAAATATAGTACAGCTCTCCAACATTCAAGTCTTCTTTTACTTCAAATTGCAAACAATTTGAAATGACAGAAAAATATAAAGAAAATAAACTTTTGGATCACGAGTGGAATTTTGGAAAGATTTTGGTAGTAACATCTATTTGGGAATATAAACTTGCCAATTTAATTAAAGCTTTCTCTATAAGGATCTTGAGCATTTTTCTTAGATTTATTCTTACATTTTAATGATTTTGTTTGCTACTGCAAACTAGATATTTTCATATTTTTATATTTACATTTAAAAACTTTTGTTTATTTTATACTTAATTTTTTAAAATTTTACTACTCATTTGAATGTATTAAATTTTGCTTTTCTAAACAGTCTCTTCAGCAAGTTGTGTTGGGAAAGCTGGACAGTCACATGTGAATCATTGAAGCTAGAACACTCCCTCACACCATACACGGAAATAAACTCAAAATGGCTTAGAGACTTAAATATAAGACATGACCCCATAAAACTCCTAGAAGAGAACATAGGCAAAATATTCTCTAACGTAATTTGTAGCTATGTTTTCTTAGATTAGTCTCCCAAAGCAATAGAAATAAAAGCAAAAATAAACAAATGGGACCTAATCAAGCTTATAAGCTTTTGCAAAGCAAAGGACACCATAAACAAAACGAAAAGACAACCTACTGGTTGGGAGGAAGTATTTGCAAACCATGTGATCAACCAAAGCTTAATTTCCAAAATATATAAACAGCTCATACAACTCAGTAACAAAATCCCAACAACCTGATCAAAAAATGGACAGAGGACCTAAATAGACATTCCTCCAAAGAAGATGTACAGATGGTCAAAAAGCACAGGAACAGATGTTCAACATTGCTAATTATTAGAGAAATACAAATCACACAGATCAGAATGGCCATCATCAAAAAGTCTCAAATAATAAGTGCTGGAGAGAGTGCGGAGAAAAGGGAACCCTTTTACACTGTTGCTGGGAACATAAATTGGTGCAGCCACTATGGAAAATAGGGTGGATGTTCCTTAAAAAACTAAAAATAGAATTACCATATGATCCAGTAATCCCACTGGGCATATATCCAGAAAAGATGAAAGCTTTAATTTGAAAAGATACATATACCCCAATGTTCACAGCAGTGCTATTTACAATAGCCAAGACAACCTAAATGTCCATCAACAGATGAACAGATTATGAAGTTGTGGTGTTCATATACAATGGAATATTACTCAGCAATAAAAAAGACTGAAATAATGCCATTTGCAGCAGTATGGATAGACCTAGAGATTATCATACTAAGATAAGTAAGCCAGACAGAGAAAGACAAATATCATATGATATCACTTATATGTGGAACCTAAAAATATTTTTTACAAATGAACTTATTTATGAAAGAGAAACAGAATTACAAAGAAAACAAACTTATGGTTACCAAAGGAAAAGGGGAAGGTAGGGATAAATTAGGAGTATGGCATTAACAGATGCATACTACCACATTTAAAATGGATAAACAATAAGAATTTACTGTATAGCATGGGGAACTATATTCAGTATCTTGTAATAAACTATAATGGAAAAGAATTTTTAAAATACAGATATATACATATATATGTACAAACCATTTTTCTGTACACCTGAAACTAACACAATATTGTAAATCATCCATACTTCAATTAAAAAATAAAGAACAAAAATATTGCTAGAGTAACTTAAAAATTTTTTGCTTTTCTATATTTTTCACCTAGATGATTGATGTATTGTGACCATTATTTTCTACTAATTGCATTTAAGATGTAAACTGTTATATAACATAGGCTAGATTTAAAATTTTATATCTAGTAGTAAAACAAGAAATCCCATTTTTAAGTAGTAAATTTACTTTAATAATATGGTTGGACATTTTAGTATAGTTAAAAGATTTTGAAAACCAAGGTAAAATATACACATGCAATTATCTGCAGCTGAATAGAAGTTAAAGCAAAAGTTTCACAATGAACCAGGATGGTATATACCAATTGTGCAATGACATCAGTTATGAGAATCCTTTTTGTTTCTATGAAAATAGTAGTGTTACATCAGCTACGTGTTAAGTAATTACAATTTGTAACTATTTTGGGGTTAAAACAAGATCATCATTCCTCCTTTGATGGTATTTACTTTGACTCATTGTTTCATAATACGTTAGCCTACTATAATTTGATTTGGTCAGAAATAAGAAACCAATTGATAGAAGAAGAAAACTGATTGTATTTCACTGAAATTTTAAGAAATATCACCCAAATTGGAAACATTTTGCAATAACAAAATCAAAATGTTAAACATTTTAAATGTAAAAACTCTTCTCATCAATCTTTATACTCATTTTTGTTATAAGCACTTAAGGTACAGTTATTAAACATTAAAAACAAGTTATACTGAATTTATTACGTTTTCATCCGTCACATACAAAATTGGTTACAATAGTGGGAAATAATTTTTGAAGTAACTGAACTTTATTCCTGTCTTAGACATGAGAATGGGGTAGATTTTTAGGTTCTAGTCAAAATTCTCAAAATTTAAATTCAATATTTGGAAGAGGAAACTTTTGGGGACTTCCATGAATTAAAAATACATATACTTTAAAATATGTTTAAATATAATCAAAGTGTAACAGAAAAGCTTCTCGTGAACCAGTTCTCAAGTGGTGGGAAGGTACTACAGCTATATTTTAGAACAATTTTTACATTTATCTACCTACCTATCTTATCTATCTATAAAGTTGTACTTTTTTTTTTAACTCACTACATACCACTTGAAATGACAGAAAAATATAAAGAGAATCAACTTTTGGATAACTACTGAAATTCTGAAAAGATTCTGGGAGTAACTTCCTTAGTTGAGGGTATAAACTTGCCAAATTATGATCCCACCCTTGGTTTATAGGACACGCTCTCTGCAAGCCTGTGGGTGCGTGACTGGTAGGGGTAGGAGATCAGCACGGGAAGGACTCTCTTAGGCTGGTCCTGGCCTG